AAACCATTAATAATTCTTGGAGAAAATCAAAGCAAAAGTTCACCAGATTTTATGATAATTAAGATCACATATCCAAACCTCCTTCATGGTTGTAATTTCCTTTGTTTTCTCAGCATGAATTATTAATGAGTTTGAGAAATAATAAGGAGAAATTAGATGCAAATCACTCAACAAGTTCAATGAGAGTCATCCCCACTCCCCTAAGGTGCTAGTTGGCTGTGTCACAAACAGTCACAGTCCACTTACCAAAGGCTCCAACTCTTTTCTGTCCACAAGGTTAAGCTCAGTAACAAAATAATAGAAATGCTTGTAACACTGGTTTACGTGAGCTTCCTGAAAGAAAACTTTGATAGTCAAGCCTTTTTCAGCATTCTGATGAAGGTAGTTAATGGGGCAACTAGGGTACTGTACATGCAATCTGGAGATTCTGGGTTCCAGCAATCTACCTTATTACATGTACTAGGCAGTGCTTTTTAAATTGGCAACTGGTAAACTCTCTTTTCCTGGGGATTTTAACCACTAATAACTATTTAGAGTGTTTGATTCATTGGTTAATTATAATAGATGTTGTTGCAGTTATTAACACCATTATATGTTATATTATTATTATTCAGGGATGTAGCTTAAGTTTTTAACATGCGGGAATCTTGCAATGATAGGTGGGTATTTGGGAAGAGGGCCCACTCTAGCGTGCCTTTGGCATGCTGTACTTAGATTTGAAGGTGTAAACAAATGAAATAAATAGATAACAATCTTCTGACAACATTTAAAAACATTTTGGAGAAAGAAGTAGTGCTTCACAGCCGGAAAAATCGCGTTCACAGCCAGGTAATTTTCCCAGCTTCCAGCTATTATCTACATCCCTGTTATTATTATTAATGAATTACAACTGAGTGCAGGATGACTATGAAGTACAGTCTGATGCACATTTAAAGTTAAGAGGAGAAATCAGAAGAGGAGGGGAATGAAATATGAGAAATGAACAAAACACGAAAGTATATCAGAGGCAAAAATAAAACAGATGAGGTTATGAAATGGAGAAAACAAAAACAAGAAACAAGAGGGAGGATAAAGACAGGAAAACAGGAGAAGCGTGCGAAACCAATATTTGGGTTACATGTTTCATGGCAGGTACTGATACCCTCAATGCAGTTGGCCTTTAAATATTTATTGTGCAATGTGATAACTGGATGTACTTACAGCTCCTAGGGATTGTACTTTGTCAAAGTGATGGATGTAAACATGAACAAACACCCTAAAGAGTCTTGTAAGGATCTTCTTGGAAGTTGGAAGAAATGTTTTTGGAAATGGAACATCTGAAATTACCACAGCATTGGAAATTAGATGTATTTTTGTCCATTGTCTGCAAATGGCATTGTTCATTCCCCTGTACAACAAGTTGAATGTTTTTTTTAAAGCTGTACAGGATATCAAATTGACAAAAATGTCTGGAATCTTGTATAAAACCTCCAGGGACCTGAGGAGAACTAAGTGTTACCCTCTTGCTTATTTCTTTTGGGAAAATTCAGGCGTAGATATATTGATAACATCAAGCTACAGTAGTTAAGTTTCAGTTATAACCAATTAGCAATGTTCTTAATCTAAAGGGTTTGAAGGAGGGAGGACATTTTTCCACCATTAGGAAACATGTAAATTGCTTGCAGAAATCTATTTACAAAGTGACATTATAACATAGCTAGTAAATTTGTCTGATCAAATTCAATTGCACAAGTGTGCTTCATATTCCTATTGTGCACGCTCATGACATCAGCAAACAAATCCCTCGAGAAAAAACATTTTCCATCAGGTTGAAAATGTTATAAAACAATTAGTTAATACGTCAGCTGTGTGTTCATCAAGATATGAAGCACTTGGGAAGTTTGGAGAGCACTTAAGAAGCTAGAGTTGCTCTCAGCTATGCCTCAAGCAACTCTTACGCATCTTTCTTGTTCTCTAAACTTCCCATGTGCTTCATATCTCGATGAATGCATGCCGATGTATGAACCAATTGTTAATTACACACTGTTGTCAAAAGGTGTCAGAGATGAAATAAAGATGTAAAGCCAGTCAAAATGAAAAATATTATAATTGCAGTGTGTTAATTTGGCAATTTGGTATTAACAACTGAGTTGATGATGTAAATTAGCCATTGTAAGGAGTTTCAAAGCTAATGTTTCGAGCATTTTCCCTTTGTCAGAGTGGATGAGCGAATGCTAATTTGGTAGCCAAGATTGGAGGATTGTTTATCCACTGCCTATGATCACATCTTTATTATTATTTCTGCAGGACAAACATTGCAACAAGCAAATGGTCTATTGCTGTACCTTTATCAATTGGGAATATATCCTCATTGTTAATTTGGCTCTCCACCCAATCCATCAGCAAGGAGATATACTGAACAAAAAACAAACAAAAATGTATAACACAATTAATCAACATGTATAGAAACTTCTCATCAATGTTGGGTTTGAAAAAGTGACTAGGATTTCAAAAAAAAATTTAACCATTCACAACCTTATATCAGTGTGCAAGTTCTCAATTTCAGGATATCTGGGGTTAAACATGGTAGCTCACCAACACTGTAATTGTGGCACTATAACTGGTCATTATGTGCAGGGAGATTTCAATGTTTCAGACCAAAACTTTCCACTGATGGTCAATTTGTACTGTTGGAATATATTATTTTAGTTCTACTCTCTGATTGATTTTCATTGTCCAAGCACCTCAAGTTTAAGTAAATACAATGCAATTGGTAACACAAATACATGTACCTCCTGTGCTGGAACTGAAGTTGGTTTTTTATATTTGTCTCCATCACACCAATGGTACTCATACCTGGAGGAAAAGAACATATTCACCCTTCAACGTCCAGATGAGATTAACATGTAACTTCTCCCTATAATATCCATGCAGTGTCCAGCAAAAAAGGTGATGAGAATACTTACATTTATCACGTAAAAGTTGTTATTTTGATCTAACATCAATTTTTTGTGCCTGATTTACAAGAAAATGTGAATCAGGTCTTGAAAGTCATAGGGTAATTGCTAAGGAAGACCTAAGCAGACCACAGTATTTTTTTATATACAGTACACTATGCACCTTTTTCCTCCAGACATAGTTGGACAACTCTCATCAGTGCAGACTTCAGCAATTGCTCCATAAATCAAGTTAATGCGATTAAAGAAATCCACAACTGTGTAAAAAAAGAAAAGAAGATTATGCCATAATTACATGGTAATGATAGTTTTTCACTCCGAATTAAAATTCACCATATTCTAATACCATTAGAATATCGTGAATTTTAATTTGGAGCGGCAAACTATCATTACCACGTAATTATGGCATAATTTTCTTTTTTTGAAATATCATATTTTTTTGAAATATCATGTTTTGCAATAGACGCAACACAGTTGCAGATTATGATGATATAGTTTGCTGAAATAATGAAATGCACTAAACAAATGCAGCTAAATGGTGCTTAGCCTTCTCCCAAATTTATTTATGAAGCTTGCTATTTGAATATCTTGCTCTCCTAAATTTTTCCTTACTGTGCCACTATTACTCAGTGAAAAAAAATGGTCTTCTTCAATAAAACATTTGGATACCATCTCTTGCTTACAGAAGCCATGTTTTCAGTTTTTTCCCCATATCTATTATCTTTATTCCTCATTTTCTACTTCAAAATGATACAATTATTACCACAATTTTGGCTGTCTATTTTTTCCCATGACAGTTGCTGACAAAGAAACTACACTGCACTGTATCTGAGCTTGGATCAAACTGAAAAACCATCACCAACTAACATGCCAAATTTTGAGTAGATTCAGATTGTGAGGTGATTTGTGGTTTTTGATGATATTGCATGGCAGATGTTTTTCAAACATGCATAATTGTTGAAAGTACGACCAGCTCTCCTCAACCACCATAACCTTGATTCGGCCTCTTAACAGTTTTGCACTTGTGCTGTGTCCAATCAAAGCATTGAAGAAAGAACCTACTACCACGTTACATTCGTCAAGAAGTACAGTAATCATAGAAAAAATAAGGAAAGTTAAGAAAAGAGGGGGAAAACATTTTTTTTTAAAAAATGAAAAAATAATCACAGCAACTGTATCCTAATGTGCTGATTAGAAAGAGTCGGTTCCACTGAATTAACTTCAACCACAGCACACGTACATCCGCAATCAGATTAAGTTTGGTATCTGAAGATGAAGTTTATCAAGCAATATCTTAAATGAAGAGCATTATCTCAGGAGGATTGTTTAAACAAGATGTGAAAGTTTGATAAAAACCCGTAACGCGATAATTATAAACTTACTGTGAACAGCAACCCAGTCGTTCAAATCTTCATCATCTGGGAGTTTCACGCATTCTTTCAAATTGATTCCAGAGTGCAATGAAGCCTTTCAAAGACAAACATGTTTAGTTATACTTAACGCAACAGCTTCAGCATTTTCGAAGGTTCACTAAAATAAACATGACGGCAGAGTCAAACTACATGATATGTTCAGTTTCAATATCAACGAACCTTGGATTGTTTGTGAAGTTCATAACGTAATGTTCCTTCTTCAAGTTTTCTTTTGGGACGGAACGTCTAAAAGATAAAAATGATTGATTAAACAAGATGTAAGCACGAGAACGAAATGAGTCCGATCTACACGATCTCTCACTATTACTGCAAAATCGTCCCACAGAAGCAAAACAAACACTTGTAATATCAAGGAGGCGGAAACTTAACGAACTTTCAACTCAATTTGAAATGACATGAGATGGTGCAAATAACAAAAAATTACCTTATCCTTCTGGAAAAAGTGGGAAAGACCCTTGGCAGCCATTGAGGGGGGATGGAATCCTTTTACTTTCCTCATTCAGCGGAAGTCTCTTCACTATGTAATATTTTACTCTTACCATATAAAGGCAAATTGAAATCATTAATCGATCGAATTTCAGAAAGTCGTCATAAATCAAATAAAATACGAGCCAGCGTTCAAGAAAATGACAGTCATGCGCGAACCTTCTCAATTCTGCTACAACTTGTGCTAGAGGGAAGCAAGAGAATTGCTCTCTGAAATACGTGTATGCTTGATTTTCTTGCCTAGATTTGGGCAAGATTGGTCTACAGGATGGCAGAGTATTGGTTGATTTCTGCTCCGGGTGATAAAACCCCACAGCAGACTTACACAAACCTGAAAAGCAGAATGACTGGACTTACGCCAGTGTTTTCTCTACAGCTTCCAGAGCTCAAGGTATGATCGTGATGATCTGATCTCGCTGATTGCATTGAAAAATTCGTCGAAAAGAAGCCACAATTGCAGCGAGTATGCCTATATATTGTAAATCTTCAGTTTTTCTAACTGGTAATGAAGGCTTTCTAGTCTTTAGTCGCTTTTTTATTAACGATTCTTTTATTAGCGATCGCGATTCTTTTTCTACATGTAAAGTTTTGCTATGTAAGTTCCTCCCTTCAAATAAATTTTAATTGATCAGGCGTCTTCTCTGTCTAATAGCAATGTCTGTTTTATAATAGACTTGGTTTTGTGTAGTCATGTATTCATCTTGAAACTCAATAACTCGTACTTGTTTTATCTTCTATTACTGGATGACAACTTACTGAACTGTAGGACTTTCTTGGTTCGATCCTCAAGACAACAGCAGTCGCAAACTGAAAAAAGGGTGGCAGAATAATATGCATAAAGTAATTTAGGAGTGAAACAGAAATCTTGCTTCAATTGGTTCAGAGGTTTAATTATAATGCCTCAACACAAAAAAAACCAATATTTTCATAATTATTACATCACACTTAAATTTGGAAACTCTTGTAATGGTAATACCTGTGGAGTTGTCCAGGTTCTCACCCTCTACTCTGTCACTAAATTGGTTGGTTTCTATGGAGAAACAAGTTATAACAGTAGTCCTTAAGGTAATCAATAGTTTTGTCATGGTTTTCTTTATCCTTAACTGTTTGCTTCTACTCCACTGTACCATGTGCATAGCAAAGTGGTTTGCATTTTACCTTTGGAATTTTAACAAAATCTGGTCAAAATTTTCAAATGTCATTTTCTTGCTCTTTAATTAGAGTGAACATCAAAGTTTAATTTGTTGCAAGAAAAATAGATTTTCTCAGGAATCAGTAGGAACAGAGAAAAGGCCTGAGTGCTAGAGTCTAGTTTGTTTGGATGTCTGTGGTAACGCAGAGGCTGGCAATTCAGTGAAGCAAACACAGTCAGTTTTGTCCTTAAAGGCTTGTGCATACTTTCCAAGACAAAATATGTGAAAACTTTTGTTATTTTCCCAATGTTTACTTTATAAGCTTTACATTGATATATAGTTTTCCATGGTTTCTTTTAATTAGCTCACATACATGTAGGATTTTTGACAGTAACCTTAAGTCTATAATTAATAATCTGTTCATACCTTGCTTATTAATATCATTATAATTTTTAGTACTCATTGAGCTTAATTTGCTTAATGTATCAGTCAGAGCTACCAGTGAAAACTGTAAGCTGGCCAGAATTACTGGCTAGTCTGCCTTTCTTTAGCTGGCAACATTAGCTTAATTTTATCAATTTGCTGACAAACATTATCAAGGAAATTTAATTTAAAAGTTAAACAGCCATTTCCCAGTTTTAAGTGGAGTTAGATCCATAACATACCAGTGTCGTACCCAGCTCGCATCTAGACATTATCAAAGTTATTATAACTATTTTGTTGTCGTGAATTTTTTTGTTTGGGGAGGGACATCAATTCCTATCCCTCTTTTGCCAGGTTGGAACTTTGGATACACTTGTGGGGTTATCAGATGATTTAGGAAAACTAGATGGTTTTGTTGAAAGGTATGAGTTTGATTTTATGATTGCTCTACAGACACATCAGCACTCTACGTCAGCTCAACTATTTCAAAGTTGCTTTTTGACAACCGAAATCATGCAATGGCCACAAGAAACAATTTGGTAGCCAAAAAGAATAACATCTCAGGAAACTAGGGAGAAAGAGGCAAAGTGTTTGATTCTGTAGAAGGAAGTGACAAAACATGAGATACAAATCTATTCAGAAAATGTGATTTGATATCATGCTGTCCAGTGTCCAGTGTCACTGAATCATTTTGTTATTTGCAGTGTGACACGCAAGTTAGCACACTATATGGGTGATGTACTTGAAGAACATCAGGTACATATAAGATGTATACTTTAACTTTTATCTTCACCACTTTCCCAAACAACAAGCTTTATTCATGATGACAAATAGCCACATTATGACTTCTGAAAGTTATTACATGTAATTAGTTAGTACACCATTGTTCTTCCTATATAGATAGAGTAAACCCTTACAATTTTGGCTGCCAGTTATATTTTTTTTTCTTCTTTGCTTTGTTTTTTATGAAAAATTATTTCAATGCTTAACTAGCTACTGTTATCAAAATCACATGGTGCTAGTCAGGTGATACCACTTTCCATTGAAAAATTCCAGGGTCTTAAAGACTAAAATTACTATAACTTCAAAGGACAAGAAGTTAAAAAATATTATTAACAAAATGTTCTGGTCAATTTAACAAATGAACTCAACAATATTATGGAATGGTATCTTGCTATTAATCCTTGAACTCCCAGAAGTGATTAACATGTAAATTCTCCCTATAGTATTGATACATTACACAGCAAACAGGTCATGAGAACGCTCAAACTCATCAGATAGAATTTATTACTTTGATTGAACACCTAATTCTCGTAATCAAGCCACAAGGAAATGTGTAATAGCTAGAGGGGAGAATTGACAATCAGATCTTGGCAGTTAAAGGGTTAATTACCTCTCTTGTATTGTTACGATAAAAAAAAAATAACATCGAATGGAAATGATTTGATGTTTTCTAAAGCATGATTTTTTTCTTTTCTCAGGACCGAGTAAGGGAAAACCTGCTTGCAAATGGGCGTAAGTATGAAAGTTATACTTGTATGGATAGTTGCTGTGTGGATATAGATTTAGTTGTTGTGTCCTTTTTTATTTGGTTCTGTGACTGGTTTGTCTGTTTCTTTTACACTTCAATAAACAGATGTTAAATGATTTAAATTCATTATCTTGATTGAAAGGTCAAAGTAACAAACAAATCCTCACTTGATATTTTTATCATCCCTGGTCAAAATATGACGCACATGTATTTCATATAATTTTGTGATGGTGTGGTTGCATGAGATACAGGCAAAATATCTGTGCGTAGGATACTCAACTGTACATCAAACCATCAAATAGAGTGTATGAATTATACAAGCTCAGAACCTTGACATGGTCTGGTTCAAGCTTGTCTCTTTCCATTTCTTCTTTATCATCAACAAGTTGTTTTCAAGTGTAGTTTAATTGTATTTTACCTTTTCACAATCTTATGTGAAAGCACCTTAACAATGAAATCAAGATTATTATTAATATTGATTTTTCATTATCATATTGTAGACTGCGCACTGCTATATTTTAGACTGACTCAATAAGTTGTTTTCATTTTGGCAGAGGACCTGTCTAACTTTGTAACAAAGTTCCAGTGGGATACTGCAAAATACCCCACCAAACAATCACTGAGGAACTTAACAGAGATTATAAGCAAGGTTTGTCAACCTTTAACACCCTAACATCAGTAAGCATATTCTCCATACTGTTCTCTATACATTTCTTAAGGTAATGACAAGGAGAATTTGTGTTTTCTCCTTCTCTCATTTCCTTTATTCTTGTGACTTTATGTTTGATTCAGCGATGAAATTGTACAAAGTAAGAGAAATAAGAGCTAGTGTCTCTTTGAGATCAGAGGGTTCAACAGTTTTTTGGTCAAATATCAATTGTTTTAGAGTCACCAGTGGTAAGAGACAAAGAAAAAAACCTTTAATATAAGTAAAAATTGTATTTTCACCTGCCTTTCTCTCCACTTTGCGAGCTTCCCTGCTCCCAAGCTTGTCAACTGAAAGATACAAAGATAGTTAGCTTCTTGGTGAGCTCATCTTGATTTTGCTGACAAATAATTATTTTGCTTTTGAATTAATTGTATATAATGTTATTTAACAAACTGCAGCAAATAACACAGATTGAACATGACCTGAAGAGCAAAGCATCTGCTTACAATGCCATCCGTGGAACCTTGGCTTCACTGGAAAGAAAAGCTACGTAAGTGTGGAAGAATTAAGAATTAAGCTCATCCTCCTGTTACAATTGTAGGTATCACATGTTCTGTTCATCAGGACAGGTACAGTTTGGGGGTTGGGGGAAATTTGAACCATAACTGTCAAGTAGGTCCAGCAGAATAAACATGGAGGTGTTTAGGGATGAAAAGTTCACTTTGAAAGCAAATGGCTCAGAAGAAAAGGTCTATTGGAAAGTCATGGTTATCGTAGCTGCTGTTGTCTTTTACAAAAAATTGACAATCAAATCTGGCACTTGGGTAGTGCAATTTTGGCCTCAGGGTGCAGGAATATGGACAAACCAATCTCCAAAAGTTCAAATGCTTGGGGTGGGATTGTGGAAGCTTTGAATAAATCAACCCATAACTGATAGTTTTCTTCATGACATGATCTTAATGGCTTCTGTTTGGAATGGGGCCAGCATGGGATGATGAAGATCTTAGGCATAGTACACTTATAAGAGTGAATTTGCTCTTTATGTAAATATCTAATAATGAAGTTGCCATAGTTTGTGGACTATTGTATGTATAAAAATACATGTATCTTCCAGCAAAACATTTCCTTGTCTTTCCCCCCCCCCCCCACCCCAAACACACACATGCCCTCTTCTTTAGATGGAGCTGTTCAAAATTATACAGCATAGTGAATATTATTCTTGAACGGAATTTAAATCCCCTTATTAGTATGATAAAAGCACAGTAAGAAACATTAGCCTTGGGAGGGAAATAATCATAAATGTTTTTGCTGAATTAACAAAAGATATTTTTATCTCTTGATAGGGGAAGCTTGTTAACAAGAAATTTAGGTGACTTGGTGAAGAAGGAAGATTTTGTTTTGGACTCAGAATATCTTACCACACAGTTAGTGGTTGTTCCCAAGTATGTTATATTGTCTTGGTTTTTAAGAAATAATTATTTTACATTGTATGTGAAAGGAAGTACAGGCACATCACATAAATTTAAAGTCACAGTCTTGAATTACTGTAGGCTAAATAATTATTATGGTTTGATTTTTATCCAAGGGCCCTTACCTCTGAATGGGAGAGAGTTTATTGGAAAATTACAGATATGGTTGTTCCGGAATCCTCAAAGTGAGTCTGATAACTGTCACCAATTATTAAGTATGGTGTTCAGATGAACTACTGTCTGTTTCTGCAAAGATGTACATATATGGTATCAAACTCAACAATCTCAAATTCAGCTGTGATTAAGGATGTCTTGATTCAAGAAGGTTCACTCCTAGTCACTTTGTGATGAGAAATTTTGCATATGTTTGGGAATGATAAGCAATAAGGTTGAGGTTGAGGTTGAGCATGCTGTCATGAATTATCAATACCTATGTCTGAGTTATCTGCCAAAGCCAAAGTCCAATGCAGGTAACATAGACACAGCGTTCGATAATCCATGTTATTATGCAAAAAAAAATTCAATAACCTTTTTAGTTTAAAAGCGTTCAGCCATTTTGAGTTTCTCTCCGAGTTTGCAAAAGTTTGAGAACACTACACGGACAAGGGGCTGGGAAACTAGGCACACTTTCAACACTTCTCATAGTACCAAAAGTACTCAGGTTTTTTTTAATTGACCTTGGTTTAGTTTTGTTTTTTTTTTCATTGGTTTTTAGGCAGGTTTATGAAGACAATGATCATGGGCTGTACACTGTCACTCTGTTCAAGAAAGTTGTAGATGAATTTAAACTTCATGCAAGAGACAAAAAGTACAATTCATTGGTTGATGATTATCATACTTAAAAATAAATTATACAGTGAAAGTAAAGGTTTATTGTTGCAAGGTTCTATTGAACATTCAGTTAAGGTGATTGGCATTTTACTTCTCTTTTCAGTATCACTGCTGAATTAAACACCAAAGTCATAAGAATATGACTAGGAAGTGATCACCAACTAAAGGAGCTCTTAATTGTTAAAAAAATTCTCCTCTTCAGTACCACAGTAAATGTATAGAGAACATATGGGAAATATTTACTCTGATGCTAGGGTGTGAAGGGTTAAAGCCTTGATGAGGACAATGAGTTGAACTCCTCAAAAGAGAAGTCTGTAGTACTGACTGTTAGATTTGATGATGAAAATAATGATAGTAAGGAAAATAATAATTTTTTTAGAGCATTATACTTATCATTGATGAAAATGAATGATTGAAAATAAATAGAAGTGGTAGAAGAGTTATATTTTAATTACCGGTTAGAATAAATTCCATTTTCGTTGAGTTAAGTACGTTTAAAACTTAACATTTCAAGTTACGTTTAACCTCTTTGTTTGTTTGTTAATTTATTTTGACATAAATTTTTGTTCCTTTAGATTTTTAGTTCGAGAATTTGTGTATGATGAACAAGCTCTTGAAGCAGGAAAAAACGAAATCACAAAACTGGAATCAGACAAGAAGAAGCAGTTTGTAAGTTAGGTGGCGTAAAGACACCACTAAATGCTTACTCATTAACCAATCAGAATCCGAAAAGAAGACGTGCGGCGGGCGGCACCAAGTGTGGGAAAACAAGCGCATGTAGAAACAATTGGGTCTGTCCTCGCACGTGATGAGTTTAAGGAGTTCCTTTTTTACTCTGATTCGTTAGGGAGAGATTGTGAGTGAATCAGGCGACCAACGATTGTTCTTGAACAGACAGTACTTTTTTGCGTAGTGGTAAATGTATCATTTATTATATTGATTATTTTATTCACATTCCTAGGGTCCGCTTGTGAGGTGGCTCAGAGTTAACTTCAGTGACTCTTTCATTGCGTGGATTCACGTTAAGGTATGGGCTTTGCTACGAATTTTCATTACGGTGAAGTAACTCGTAAAGTTAGACAGCAACGGTTAGAGCCCAGATCAATTGATTGTCGCAAAACGAAAACTAATACAATCATACATGCTTGTCTTTATCGCAGGCCCTTCGTGTGTTTGTGGAGTCAGTTTTAAGGTGAGCTAAAAATGATATATAGTACAGTCTACCTTGCAGGTTGTTCCTATCGCCATGAAATTCTTGATTCGTCACTGAGACCCAACCGGGATACAGAACTCTTCAAGAGCCGAACCAAGTACTGAATCACTTAACAAAGGATAATTCAATTTGAGACTTCTTGGCTGATTTTCCCGCCTAGCTTGGCTGTGAATGCCTACCACTTACAATATTTCAGTATTAATTCTCTCCACTTACTGCCATAAATCTCTTACAATATTGGTTGTGAGAATCTGGTGTTTAATCAGACAACATCCTTTTGTTATAATTTCATTCAATACCTGTCGCATGTCTGCCTGATAGACCTTAACCATTGTGAGGAGAAATTACTCTTTGGTCAGTTCAGATGCCAGTTGAGAGAGTGCACCAGAGGCCCCTGTAACACAAGTTAGAGAACCGATGTTGGTAAATTGTCAACTGCAGTTTGAACAGTAACCCTAATTTAATCCATTTTCTTCCACTGGTTTTCAGATATGGTTTGCCCGTGAACTTCCAGGCTATGTTACTACAGGTAAAGTTTTTTCGAATCAAGCGTATTATTCCGAAATGCGCAAGCTTTTTGTTTTTAGCGAAAGAGGGGTCTTCCACGGCGATTTGCAATGTTTTGATGTTTTGTAGACCAACATTTCTTCCTTCTTCTGTAATGCCAACCGTGGCCCATAACACTTTCAACACTGACCTATTCACCAAGCTACAATAAGACTCGCTTATTACCTACGATCAGACTCAGATTTGTGTTTTCTTGGAGCCCGCTCGTGAAACTTTTCCCTTCATTCAATAGTCTTGATTCCAGTTTGCCTTTTATTTCTTTTGTTGTTGTTGTTGTTCTAACAGCCATCAAAGAAGACATGCAAGAAGATAAAGGATATGTTGGACACATGTTATCAACATCTTGATAACCAAGGATTCAGTTCCAGCATGTATGACGCCAATGTATGTACGATCACGTGTTTGTCTTATCATACCTTATCGTTGCACTCTCAATTGGACCCAATCTTAACCTCACCCAGGTTGAGGCAACTTGTTGTGCAATTGCTTCTCCTCTCGGATAGGATCCCAGTCCATTCCAGGTTATCCCACAGTAGTCCGTTATGTTTTCCTGAGAGCTTACTGATGCCATTTGCACTCCTGGGTAGATGGTGGCTCTATAAGAGTACAATGTCCAGCGCAACAATCTTTTCAGTACTCCCACTCGAACCTTTTGCTTCAGAGGTCAGCGCGGTAGCACCTAGACACCATGTCTTACACCCACTCATAACCTGGGAACAAGCTCACGTCAGCGCTGCAACACGAGCGTTTCTTAGCCCGAAAGAAAGTCCGATTCCTTGAAGAAAGCGAGCCGGCGAGAGCATTGCTAGGTGCAGACCCCAGCAAACCTCTCCCCGGCTCGTCTCAAATCTTCCCGCGGGTGAAGAAATGCGCTAATAAAGAGAGCCAGCTGGCAAGCTAACCCCACTCATAAACGAATGAAGAGGGTAGTTTCTAAAGAAACTGTGCTGCTGCGTTGGCAGGAGAGTATAACAAGGTAATTTAGTATGATTAACTGAGTTGATAACGTAAATTGGCCGCCGTTTCAAAGTTTCGAGCGTCAGCCCTTGGTCAGAGCGAAGACGAAGACGAAGGGCTAACGCTCGAAACGTCAGCTTTGAAACTCTAACGTTGGCGAATTTACGTGATCAACTCAGTTGATAACCCAACTCATAAAACATTTGTGTCTTGTTTTACAGAGTCTTGAGATCCCAGGTCTCAGCCTTGCGCATCAGGAGTATTATCCATACGTGTTTTATCAAATTAAATTAGATCTTATTGAACGGTAAAGATCGTCAGCCACTAAGAATTGTTTCATTTTATCAATCTTCAAGAATATTGTAATTTTTGACCGAATGAAAGCGACATGGCAAAGGATCATCGGGAATAGTCGGAGAAGTGTCTTTCGATAATATTACTTCCAAATTTGCCTTTAAAAATTATGAGAAAAAATTGAGATGTAAATACAATATTAGTGTATGTAGGAGGGTCGCTCTCTACAAGCGAGATTATTTACGATGAAAATGACTTCCCATGTGTACAGTAAAGCTCAAAACAGAATGGCAGATCAACAACCCATACCTGAATAAGCTTTGAGTTTGTTAGTTCTCTTAGTTTTCCTTTCCCCAACTTTTGTTTCCTTTTAGAGATTTATATGAACGTTTCAATTGTCTTTCACTTACCTTGCAAGAAAGTGGTTGTGTGGGATGCTTTCCTTTCAAATTTTGCGCGGACGGAAATTGGTGCGCGAGCGGCCAAAATTGAACCCCCGCGCATGCCCCTACGTTCCCCTACGCTTGATGGCTGTGTTGTTTTGAAATTTCTCACTAATTATACCCGAACTTTTGATAAGGACTGAAACATGGCCAAAGTTCAACGTAACGAAAAGCTCGAGTCATATTGATAAAACACGTTAGTTTATTCATCGTTAAAATTTTTGGTTTTTAAACTCAGATTTATGTTAATGATTGTTTTTACCAAATAGGTATTATAGTTTGCGAAAACAAATTTAAATCCTCGAACTGATCAACACTTAAATCTATCGCCGTGGAAGGCTACCTATA